GTGGTCCACTTACCGTGTACCACATCTTAGGCTAACACCATGGTAGGGCAAGCAAAGTGTCAACCTGCCCTAAGGGTCCAATCTCCCAAACCCTGCAGCATCCTGGACAAAGAACCGAGCCTGGTTTTTCACGTAGTGAAACTGCAGGAGGGGGAGGCAACAGTAATTTTGGAGGAGAGAGTCTTCCTGCTCAGTGGGCTCCCCCCGCCCCCACTTCCCTGTGCCCACTCATCTGGCTTCACCATCCTCTCTTACATCCACTGGAGTGAAGGGGACACTGCAGTGGCTCTGGATTGAATTCATTAGCCATGTCTTGTCATACTTTCTCCCATAGGGAATCTAAAGGTGAAAAGAAAGGATGGGAGTAAAGAGAGACAACATAGAATTAAAGCTGGAGGGCGCCTGGGTGGCTCAGTTGGTTAAGCGACTGCTTTTGGCTCAGGTCATGATCCTGGAGTCCCGGGATCGAGTCCCGCATCGGGCTCCCTGCTCAGCAGGGAGTCTGCTTCTCCCTCTGACCCTCTTCCCTCTCATGCTCTCTGTCTCTCATTCTCTCTCTCTCTCAAATAAATAAATAAAATCTTAAAAAAAAAAAAGAATTAAAGCTGGAAAACAGACCCAACAGCATTCTTGTCTGACTTTCTATTGAGCTGTACAGCGCTTCATAAGAAGGGACTACTGGCATTATTTCTTATTTTTCTTTGTGCCAAACGTGGATTCCCTAGACCCTCCCCATTGGAAAGCTCTCCTCCAAATAATTGACATAAGGTTGTTTAATGTGGTCTTCCTTTTTTTATAAGGTTCCGGGATATTCTATCTAATGTAGACCTTGCCAAGACACTCACGGTGATCTTGAACCAGCTCCCTGGGGTTCCATGTTGTGTGTTCTCCCCCATCTCTCTCCTCAGAGTTTTTCTATCTCTCCACACAGTAATATGGATATGGCCCTTATTTTGCCATTTCACTCTCCTCTTGTCGCGCTGGGTGCTATAGGGAGTGCTGTGGAGGGGAAGTGGAGAGGAGGAGGGTGACCATAAATGCTAAGAAAGTCTTCTTCTATACACCCTCACCTCTCTGTCACCAGGACTACAATTAGGATTGCTTAGCCATTATTCCCCTTCTGGCATTCTTCAGTTTTCCAGTGAGAGAAGAAAAAGCCAGGGAGAGTGAAAGAGTTGCCTAGTCCCAGGGGCTGCTGCATGCAAACCAGTCTGCCTGGTCACTTACTGTCTTACTTGGGGGTCCTCCTGGACATCTCCCCTCAGCACATTTCCATCATCCTCCTGGAGGTGTGAAGGCTGAGGCTCACATCCACCATCTTCATATTGAGGGCTCCTCTTGCCAAAATTACCTTGGAAAGAACTCCAAACTTTCTTTCTTCCTTGAGGTGAGCTACCACCATCGTTGTATTCTCAAAAGGGGAACAAAAATACAAGTTTGAAGACACATCAGTGGTCCACTTACCGTGTACCACATCTTAGGCTAACACCATGGTAGGGCAAGCAAAGTGTCAACCTGCCCTAAGGGTCCAATCTCCCAAACCCTGGAAAGGAAACTCCTCTGCTTGTCCAGATAGGAGAGCCTTATTTGACAGATGGCACTATCAGGGTAGGAATCTTGGGGGAGGAGGAGGAGGAGAAAACTGTATTGAACCTTTTAAAGAAGGAAGCAGATTTACCAAAACAAAACAACAAGACAAAACAAAACAAAACAGAGATGTGTGCCTCCATGGATTACACTGGAAACCAGCCATACACCGGGAAGACATCTGAATTGTACCTTCTCTCAGGCCTGTCTAAAAACCACACCAATACCAGGGAGGCAATCTCTCTCATGCTTCCCAAATACAATCAGCCACCAAACTGATCCCACTAACAATCAGCAAGCTGTACTTCCTTTGCTGGTGTAGTTCAAGCTTTGATGTCAGGTGGGACTGATGTAACAGCCTCCTAAGCTGCCCCCCTCCCTCCAGCCTTGCAGTCAGCAATACTCAGTTTGAAATAACCAGAGTGAGCTTTCTTTTTGCCCAGCCTGAAATGCCTTTCAGCTGAGGGGACAACTCTTCCTAACCTCAGGTCCTCTATAACAAGGATCTGAATGACAAACCGGGGTAATATGTCAACTAGCATTTCCAAGTGTGTAGGAATTCTTCTTTTTTCGTTCTATTATTGATTTCTAACATGGGTCCATTATGGTCAGAGAACGTGCTCCGTGTGATTTAAAATTCGCTGGGGTTTGTTTGATGGTCCAGGAGATGATCTAGCTTGATGAATATTACATAGATATTGGGGGGAAAATGTACTTTGTTGTCGTTGGGTGGAGTGCTATATTTATGTCATATAGATCCTATTTATTGTGCTATTCAGATCTCCTATATCCTTGCTGGTTTTGTCTCTAGTAATTTTATCCCTTGCTAAGCAGGGGAGTGGTGTTGAAGGCCCCAACTATAATTATGGATGTGGTTATTTCTCCTTTCAACTCTATCAGTTTTTTGCTTCATGTATTTTGAATCTCTGTTGTTTGGTCTGTACACATTTAGGATCATTATGACACCCCAGTGGATTGATCCTTTTATCATTATGTAATGCCTCTTTCTGTCTCTTATCAATTTCCTTTGCTCTGATATCTACTTTCTTGGATATTGTAACCACAGGTATACTTAGTGTCTTGGTGATACTTCACCCTGTATTCACTCCTAGGAGTTGTATTGATGTCCACCCCTCCCCCTGCAAATACTCCCTGCTAACATATATAATTCGCCATGTGGAAAGATTTGGAAATTTTCTGGCATCTACAGAAGTAAGAGTCCGAATTCTCTCTCCCACAGTGGATTCACTAAGGGTATTTTATTTTTACCACATTCAAATGAAACAGTGTAACAGCAGATAATAATACTAGTGGTTTGAGTAGGCAGTGGGGGGGAGGATTAAGGTACCTAGACTGGTAGAAAACAGCTTCCTTTTGGGTTCTAATATTTAAGGCTCTCTCGGTTTGTGTGTTGTACATTTTGTACCTAAATTACTCCATGCTGTCTCAGGGCACACTTACGAGTAAAAATTTGTTCACTACTGATTGCTCCATGATATAGTGATTACGACCATGCCTCAGATTAATTCCTCTGGGGAGTCATTGCTTTCAGTATGTGACCTTGCTGTCAGGACAATCCTGTACTCACCACCTTCGGGACCTTCCCTGTGTGGTACTGGAAGTGGAATTAAACATGGGTAGAGCATTTGACCCTGAAATGCCAATGGCTCAGTCCTCAAAACTTGGAAGCAGCCTGGAGTGCTCTCTCTCTCTCTCTCACACTCCACATCCAACTGATCAGGAAATTCTCTTGTCTCCTCTCTCCAGTACATCCAGAATCTAGCCATTTTTCACCACTGCCGTTATTACCACCCTGGCCAAGACACCAACGTCTATATCCTAGATTATACTGCCTTCCAACTGGTCCCTCTACTTTCATCCTTGCTCCCTTACCGTCTGTTTTCAGCCCAATAGCAGAACATAATGCAAATCATTTAACTCCTCTGCTCAAAACAATGGTTTGAAGCCCATCAACATGTTAAAAAGCCATGAGTTCATAATGATACTAAACAACAATAACAAAAACAAAGAGAAACCTTATTAGTGACCTTTGGAGAATGTCAGAAAACCAACTGATTTTCATAAAAATCCACCAATGAAAGGAAAAACTCAAATATTAAAAATAATAATAATCCATGGTCAACATATGGTGTGTATGGGGCATCAGAGTCATCTTGGAGAACTGACATTACTTCAGAAATAACGTTGTCAAGGGGGGAGTGTCAAAAGTGAGCCAGCTAACAGCTACGGCATTCCCCAGACCGACCAGGTGAGTTGGGTGCCTAAACAGGGCCCGAGGCCTCCCTCATCAAGGTGATTCAGACAAGAGCGATCTCAAGCATAGCCTTGTTTTGGGAATCTCATAGGACAGTGGGCATGTGATTAAAAAGCCAGAGAGACCACGCACACACATGTGTGTGCACACACGCATATCCACTTACTGAAGGGTTGCCTCTCAGCACGATCCTTGTCTCACTGTCATGCCTAAAACAAAGGCAACAACAGGAGCATCGGAAATCAGCTGGTGCCTCTCACCCAGGCTGCCTGGGTCCCCCCTCAGTCTCTACCACAGTATTAACTGATCCTCCCGCTAAGGAACGGTCGTGAGTGTCCTTTATGACATCATGTGTGTTCACATGGTACCTCCTGTGTCGGTTTGGAATTCTGCCTACATCATTGCTATGCCGTTGAGTACATGGTAATGGCATCCCTGCTATGGTAGGGAAAGAACAGGGTGAGAAGTAAAACACCACTTGCCCAGCAGCAAGCAACATCAGCTCAGTGTTGGGCAGACTCACTAGAGTTCTTTGACCCCCTCACTGAAGTCCGAAAACATTTGTATCCACAGCCCCCTTTCAGATCACGACTGTTAGGCTCACAGGCGTTAGGTACGTGTCCCAGGATTTCTCAGCCAAGTCAGTGGTGGAACAGAAATTGTGTCCTCACCTATTGGTCTGCCTCCACATCCTAAGTGTTCCTCTAGCTAGTGTGCTGGTTCTCCTTTAATGGTGGACTTTCAGGTCTCAAGGACAGATTTCTGTGAGCAGACCAGGGATGATGTTTTGTGAGCAGGAGTTAGTCATTTTTGCTTGGGTGAGTACAGGTGCCTTGGATCAAGTGGAGATATGGGTCTTGAACTAGATGGATAAATCTGTTTGGATCACAGTGTTTGCAGATTAGGAGTCACTCTGAGGTGGCACTGTCTGGCATATAATGGGACTTAATTAGTATTTGTTAAATGAATGTAGGCAATGTAGATTTGGGATCAACAAAGCCACTTTTGAGAATCCATACATCTCAATCATTTCTACCCACATCTACTTATTCCAGAAAAAAATGGGCTGCAGAACTGTTTCACAACCTGCTTGTAAAACTACCATGTATTGAATTTGTCTTTTGCAAAATTAGTATTTTTTATTAGTGTACAATTAGAACTAGAGCTAATTACCCACCTCTTGATTAATGCTAAAACTACTGCTTTTCTGATCTGAGGATGCTTTTTTTTAAAATTTTATTTTATGTTATGTTAGTCACCATACAATACATCATTAGTTTTTGATGTAGTGATCCAGGATTCATTGTTTTTGTATAACACCCAGTGCTCCATGCAGTACGTGCCCTCCTTAATACCCATCACTGGCTAAATCATCCCCCCACCCCCCTCCCCTCTAAAACCCTCAGTTTGTTTCTAAGAGTCCATAGTCTCTCATGAGAAAGGGAAGCTTTTGCAATCTGGTGGCAGAAATGAGGAGAGGCTTTCCCTTAAATCCAGCAGATAGAGCTTCCTGGGTGTCTGGTATGCGTAGGAAGAATGTTCTGGACCTACATGTATGTCTGTGAGTGCTCAGTTTTGTGACAGCAGTATGGTCCTTGTCTCAGAGGAAAACAAGAGTGTGTGCATGAGCATATGTGTGTGCATGGGCATGTGTTGATATTATCTGTTTTACATTTGTATAATTAGATTACAGATACATGCATTTCAAATCATGTTAGAAAGTACATTGCCACACAAAACAGGACCCTAAAGTACATTTTCTTTTCATGTATTATATACTATATATACCCAATATTTGCTTCTTGTTTTTAATATGCCCTTTAATTTTTTTTACATCTTGGCATTTTAATATTTGAATTGATTTTCAAATTTAAAATATTAGAATTCTCTATACAAGGTATTTCTAATGGTGGAAGCTAAATTACCAAGTGGAGCATGGCGTGGGATTTAGGACAGTTCCAGGTTTTGATTCTGTGCTCTACAGCTTCCCAGAAGAAGCACATCATATTTTAAATTATAAGAGACAATTTCCTAAGGATATTTACACCAATATACTTCTCCACTAACAGTGCAAGAGGATCTAACTTCCTACAGTATGCTTAACCACTCAGAAGTCATTCTTACACTTTGACCCAGACATTTCACCTTAAAATATTCTATGCCTAAGTATATACTTATAATTATATGGCTGTGCTTTATAGGCTCTTTGACACAGAAAGACAATAGGATCAGGGAGTGGCCAATATTGACAGAAGAGGGGTAGAAATGATTGTCCCTCGAATCAAGGATGGGAAAGAAGGGGCATGGGTACCTGACATACAGAGCAAAAAGGCCAAGGGATGGATGTATAGGCCAGAAAGATGAGGGTGATCATTGGGAAGAGAATGAAACACAAATGGAAAAAGTCTATGAGGAACTGAATTCATCCTGGCAATATACACCTCTCTGTAAACCGTCCTTTCTTTCCATGTATAACTTGTCTGTCTCTGCTACTTCATCTTCAAGCTGAACACCAGAGAAATAGTTCCCACACAGTCTGAGAAAAGAGA